TGGCCCGTGGGCTGTAGTTTGAGGACCCCTGATCTAAACATTTAGTTCACTAGAAGATATGCTCACATAGTTTTAGAAGCTTTTATATATTCTTAATTCAATCCTTTTTCCTAAGGTGAAGAAAACAACAGAAGAGAGAGTAGATATGAAAAACCACTTAGCCTAAAAGTGAACTAGGGAGCAAGAACTGCGATGAAGCAGGCTAAACAGATTCACAGCTGCTATGTTCCTCCATCTAGCAAAACAGCTAAAGTGAAAACTCCATTTTTCCAAGTGGAGAGGAAAATCACACACCCTTGAAGGTGCAAGAGTGTGTCTGTTGGCTTTGCACTCCACAGCTGTCTTGTCTCTTAAAACCTTGCTTAAGGAATCAGTCAATGGCATATGAATTTTCATTCTACTTAAAGTTCCTTATAAGTAACATGTCACATGAGATGTTTCCTCCAATTCATGATTATGCAAGAGCTAGTCATTACCCCAAGTTCATGCAGGACCTATCAACCATGATCTTCCAATGGAAGAGCTGTCACCAGCACAAGCTGAAGAAGGCAGAGGTAGCTCTGGAGTGTCAGTGCGCACCAGGAACCTAATGCGGGTTGCAATTGCTCTTCTCTGACACTCGGTGCCAAAAGAGGGAAGTGTGGCAGCCTCTGCTCATAGAGATTTTGAAGCCTTTTCAAGTTAGAATGAGAACACAACTGCATTATCTGCTCCAATAATCCCACACTTGACACTTATTTCCAATGTTTATAATTTCTCCTATTGCTTTGGCTGTTCTTCACCAAAAAAAAAAGCACTGGTTGGCAGAATGAAATCAGGATTTGTGCTGGGGGTATCACCACACCTGAAATCGTGACTCATGTGTCCTAAATTTCCAGAGAAACTTTAAAAAGCAACAGATCCCAGTGAGCCCCAAATGCTACACGTAGAACAGGGAACCAGCAGCACTTCTGCATTCCCAGATCCAAGAGTGACTATATCATGACGCTGTATCTAAGTTCCAGGCGTGCATCTCTTGCTTGCCAACTGTCATGAAACGGAACTTGTACACCCGAGCTACAGGAGGCCCATGCAGGCCAAATGAGAATGTCACTGTTATGTCCCAACAGGCATTAACAGATGCAGTAAACAAGAATTGCCACTCAGCTCCCTTCTTTTAAAAAACTTCCCTTTATTCATCACAATTTATTCTTCTAATCCCTGAAGTTAAAACACAGGTACATTCCCCGCACATTTACAGGTGCATTTATGTATCCTTACTCTTACAGTTTTCAGAATATTAAACAAAAACTTTCAATATACTACACAGTAAAAAATTAATAACATTTGTCCTCTGTTTTAGGATGGTCCCTGTTCCTCTAAGTTGAAGGATACTGCCATGTTCAAGCCACCAGTTACTCATCCAACAATCAGAGAACCTCAAGTTTTGCCATCCTTACGCAGCAAGCAATATATTTGGTTGTGGCATTCCCACTGATTTCATGAGACACGGTAGTAACTCTGACTGAAACCACCATGGTTAAGGGAAGCTGTTTTCTAGATACAGTGTTCAGTTGAAAGCCCAAGTGAAATCCCAGTTGTATCGATGCACGCATGAATTTTCCCATCTAATTCACTGTGACCAGGTTCAGCATGAACAATATTAAGCCTCTTTTATGTTTATGAAATAATTCATAAGCAACTTCCCAGAGTGCTCTAAGGCATTTTTACCTGAAAGCTGAGATTTACAAGCCATTATTCTTGTCAGCCAAAATATTTTCAATCATTCTGGTCTTCCCTTCATTAGACTTTGACAAACTTGAAATATTTTTGACCAAACCAATAGCGAAATAATTCTGTTGAAACACACATTTCACAGTCAGCTTGAGACATCCAAAACAGCACTATCATTTAATAAAATTGCCACAGAATAGACACTATTGTTGGGCACTCACTAGTCAAAAATATTTACAGTAATGTCATGAAAAGTTGGGAATTCAGATGAGTATCTTCAGTAACTTAACCGCTACTGAATTCCTTCAGATAAAGCTTCATAAATTGGTGTAAAAAAGCAATTTAAGAGTTGGCTTCCTAATGCTTTTAACTACTTGCAGAAAAAGATATTTAAATTACAATTAAAATAGATTTTAGGTTCTGAAAACATGAATAATCCAAATCAAATGCTTTTTACTTTTCACTAAGTGGCTGATCAACCACAGATACTCATAGATTTTTACTGTGCTTGCTCTTGGTATACATACAGATGGATCTATGCCACTCTGGTTTTTATCAGATAATACATACCTATTTTGACAATCTACAACAGAACCTGAAGTATTTATGGACAAATTAGCCAGTATTTCATCTCATGATGAACAGAGACATGCTGTCTTTCAAAGGGAGTCTTGCATAAGTCATGCTGTAAGAACTCAGACACGGTCAGCATAAAAAATTCTTTAAGGACCCTTGAGGTACAGGGATGTAGCCAAAACTCTTTGTACCTTCCTACCCTCTTCTTACTCCTCAGAATCTTGAATTTTTTTAAAAGCAACATCAGCTAAGCCAGTCTCACTTTCCTGTGGACTTTCAGAATGCAGGGCTCGCGCCTCCACCTCTTTAGTAAATTCAGGTTCTTCCGTTCGGTCAGTAGCATTATTTGGATCCACTTGTTTGGTAGCATCTGGACCAGGATCTGACTGTTCATCGCTTGTAGAACTACCATCTGCTAGTTGCACTTCATCTAAACAAAACAGAAATTGCATCATCAGTAAACACTGAACTCATCTGCAAGCAAACATTTTTATAATTGAAGAGTAATAAACACTAGGAAACTCTGCATCAATTACAAAAGTTATTAATTTAACCAAGCTTCATCAAAAAAGACCTAAGACACTAGAGTTCTGCTTAAATTGGTGATAAGATTACTCTGAAACTAACCCTACACAAAGCTTCCATAAATTTATCTTCACTTTTGCCATACTTCTTTTTAATGTCTAGGAGCAGAGTAGGACACCACAGTTATTTTAACTTTCAATTCACTATGTTTTATTGACACTATTCCTACAGTTAGCTTTTCAAAGAATGTCTGCAGGATGGTTAAACAGAGAGTACAGGTGAGTTTTGTTTTCCTTTTTTAGAAAAAGAAAAAGAAAAAGAAAAAAGAAAAAGAAAAAAGAAAAAGAAAAAAGAAAAAGAAAAAAGAAAAAGAAAAAAGAAAAAGAAAAAAGAAAAAGAAAAAAGAAAAAGAAAAAAGAAAAAGAAAAAAGAAAAAGAAAAAAGAAAAAGAAAAAAGAAAAAGAAAAAAGAAAAAGAAAAAAGAAAAAGAAAAAAGAAAAAGAAAAAAGAAAAAGAAAAAAGAAAAAGAAAAAAGAAAAAGAAAAAAGAAAAAGAAAAAAGAAAAAGAAAAAAGAAAAAGAAAAAAGAGGCATGTACTTGATTATGTAGCAAGCATTTTTGCATATAACAGACTGAAAAAATTATTTGCTAATGAACAGTTGACCACAATGAACTTTGGTTGAAGTGAGTCATCCTAAAATTTATAACCAGACTGCATGGAATGGAATCAGCTGTTGCACCTTTACTTTTCAAGCTATATTTTTGGAGAAAAAAAAACTGTTAAAGAACTTTTTGCCCTGATGCTGCTAAGTAGGGGCTGGGTCCTAGCAATTCTGAAAAGAAAGGGGAATGCCTATTTGGGGGCCCTGGCACGTTCCGAAGTAGTTCATCTTGGTTTCTTATTCTCTGTTATGATTTATAGCCAGCTGAAAACACTGTCACAGCTGGCCACAACACTGCCAACGCCCTGCCAAGGTCTCATTCGGCTATGGAGCTAACTGCCTTAAGCACAGGCTGAAGCATACACTGCCTTAGCACTCACCCTTCCACAGTGGTAACTCTTAAACTCTTGGTTTCGCTTATAGTTGCAGCTGTGGTACCTGAAGAAGCTAGTGAAGACTGACACGTAGACAGTGCAGTGGTAACGTGTCAAAAAACGTTAGCTTCCCTTTTTAGGAAGGGAGGGAGGGAGAAGAGCCATCCACCAAGATCCTGTGTCTCACTCTGAAGAGGACAGTACCTGGCCACTGATTTGTTCAGTTAATCTGAGCCTGCGAGTGTGTGTATCTGTCACCAGTGTGAGGTGCCACACTGCTCACAGCTCATTATCTTTTGCTGTATTGGTATGCAATATGCTTGGGGAGTTCTAGTATCCTTGCCTCCATCTTCCACAGTGATCTTAATTCCATGCAACAGCAACTCTTGTTGTAACAGGATCATCACAGGAAGCTGTTGAAAACTGCACTAATTACTAATTTATATGCTGCTATAGCTTTTACAGTCCATCCGAAGTGAAGAATACTACCATTATAAGAAAAGTGTGATTTGTCCAGTGTGCTTCTACTACCCTCAAAACAAGGGGAAGGGAATCTAGTAAGTTGTAAAAGAGAAAAAGTTATTTCACTTACAGAAACATTGTATCAGAATAAGTTAAGAGGGTATGTGAGATACAGTGGTTTTTCTGTCATTATGTATTAATTATTTGCTTATTGAAGTGAGAAAAACACCATTAATGTTTAAAGAGTAATGCTGTCTTTCTTCTTGTTCAAAGTACACAACACAATTAACTTGATACTGTGATCATGAACAAGAAAGTATTACAGGAGAGTTAACATCTGCATTAACCTTTGCAACGGGAAGGAGTGGGCTGCTTGCTTATTATCCAACTTGTACTAATGCCTCCAACGAAAGGCAGAGTAGCATCAAACTTCTGCATGATTTTGATTAAAGATTTGGATTTGGAAACGGTGCAGTGTAATTCAAAATGCTTTAGTTGTAGAAACCTGTGTAACTCTAGCATTAAAAAAACATAGTACACAGCACAAGTACACAGCATTTGCAAATAGAAAGACTAGAATTCCAACAAATGCAGATATGCTGTTATGTTACAACAGAGATTTTTCTTTCAACCTCAGCTGTTAACAGATTTTAAGACCTGTTACTATTGTTCCTTGTGGTGCAGTTAATGCAGCATTAGTTTCAGCAAGTAAACTAAAGATCCTGACCTTTCTTTTGCTTTTTTTCTTGTTTCCTTTTTTCTTTGGCAGCTTCTAGTTCTTGTTTCTCATGAATTTCCTTCAGGGTCTTACAGACTTTTCTGTGGGTAAACCAGTGTATTTTCTGGCAGTTCTGGTCACAGTACATCACCTGAAAGTTACCAGAGCTATCAATTAATCTTTACGTACTAAAAAATACACAATATTTTTGCATTTCATAGTGTACAGAGTTAAACCTCTCTATGTATATTATTTTACAGTATTTCTAAGCAATTTGTGAGGGCATATGGAATGATTCTAACCTATATAAAACTCTATACAGAATATTTGTTTTGTTAACTCTGAAAATACAGAAATTTTACTCTTTCTTAATTCTTAAAACATACACAGGTGGAAATCCAAGTACTCCTACTTCTGAATTTCAGGCATCTCTCCCAGAAGTAGACAGCTTGCACATTTTCACTGTAGGCATACATGCCATTCCTCATAAGTCTACACAGTAAATAGTCAAGCATTCAAAATCCTCAGCACCTCAGTGGCACTATTTTTTTCTGATTCATTATAACTATTCATGGATTCTTACCATTTTACATACAGAACATCTTTTGTCTGCACCCTTTCCTCCACAAGTTGTACAGAATTCGGCATCCACAAAACCCACTTGGCCAGTAATAGCTTGTGTAAGTACAGAAAAAGCTGTAGGATCAGAACCCTGAAAGGTAAGACGAGGTAGTAATGAGATTAAAAAGCAACACTATCATGAAGAGGGACATGCACGAGAAAAACCAAACAAGCAATGCAAACTTCCAAGCAGCCAGTTGCAATCTCACTGAAGATGCAACAGCAGCAAGAACATAGAACTAAATCCAGAATTACAACTAACATGCACAACTTAACATTTATATGGTTAGATAAATTTTTGTACACAAAGTTAACCCAGTCTTTAGCTCCAGTAAAAGGGAGGACAACAATTATCAGGTTTTACTCTGTAAATTGTCAGTAACACTATTTACTAACTCAGTGTTCTGTCATCTGCTTGAAGATCGCGTGCAGCAGGTTTTTACAGCTTAGTCTGTGCTGGCCCACACAAGGTATTTTACTTGTCACTGATATACTATTGTGCTCAGTGTACTCAGATACTACAGACCAAATGGTCAGAACTCAGAATCTTCAAAACAATGATTTACATATTACTATTTAAATATTATTTGCAGTATCTTTCCCAGGCAATACAAGCAGTACGACTTAGTATATTTTACTGGTAACCAAAAATTACAACTACTCTTTTGGGCAATGCTGTAAACGTTAGAGGAAAAAAATGCCAAGTAATTCCAGCTCTAAGTAAATCCTTAAACTGTTAGACTACCATGGAATATGCATGATCATAACTACTACGACAATGCTGAGGTGCCCAGACTGAATCCCAGTAATTGTGCTGCCAAAGGCCAAGGCCTTCCAGACAATTAAAAATTTATAGCATGTCCTCCTTCCCAGTTCTGCATGATGGACAGAAATCCAATACAACAAACCATTATTGCTTTAAAGAGAGAAGGCAGAAAAGGCTGCCAGCTCTTCTAAGAAAAAACAGACAGGAAGGAAAATGTTTACTCTAAAGCAAGTCGTAATGCATGGTGATGGCTTATGTTTTCACACTGTGTTTATTTTTCTGGCTTAGACAAACAGTAGGGATTGCATTAAGCCTCAGGACATTTTACTAGACTGGAGCCACTTAAGACGGAGGCTATTTTTAATTCATTCAGTATAATGCAAACACATCACAAAATTGTTCCACTTCCCCAGTGTTAGTGCATATAACATCTAGCTCTCAGAGACCAAAGATTATTGGTCTCTGAGAACTTTATTAAAAAAGAATAGTACATCTAGGGTAAAATTTATTATGAACTATTTAGTAGTACTATAATGAAGTGTGTTAGCAAAGGCATATGAAGAAAAATTAAGTTAGATTTTTTACTTGTAATTTTGATTTCCTAATTTAGATATACATTTTGCTCTATATTGCATCATCTTGCTGCTCCTCATGATAAAAGGCGCCTCACAGGATGTTTTTTGGTTTTGTACCATCATTATATTATCAACTTTTTGTGTACACTAGGAATAATGAATGCATTAAAACTAGGAAACTATTCAATCTTAAATTGAATTTAGACATGAAAAAGGAGTGCAAAATGAGTTTCATCTGTGTCTGTATCTACAACTTTTAAGAGCAAATCTACAAAGAAAAACTGAACAGACATCCCAGAGTAGGAAAACAAAGCTCTGACACAGAAACAAAATTGTTTCAATTTTCTTTAAAAGTGGAGGTATCGAAGCATTCGTTATGAGCACAGGAAAAAAACTGCTAGTTGAACTATTTCAGAGCATCTTCCTGCAATATTTAAAATAAAATTCCAGTTTGCCAGAGAGTTCACAGACATCAAAAACCTTTGTTTAATATTATGCACTGCAGAAGCTGAGGAGCAGAAAGATGGCTTATTTTAAACTGAATTTATTATGAAAGTTGCTTAGGAAGTATTTTCTTCATAGGAAAAACTTACTATTTCAACAGGAGCAATACTTCTCACGAGCTGCTGGAGCAATGTAGCTTCACAGTAAGGAAACTTTCGGATACTTTCTCGAATCAGCTTCTCTTGATACACAGGGAAACCATCTTTCTCTCTCCCTTTCAAGAGACTAAATTTTTTAAAACCAAAGTCAAGTAATAAATCACATAGTAAATGTTCAAGAACAAATACACAGCATGCTGTACTCTGTCCTCTTCCAAATGATAGAGAAGAATTAGAATTCAAAATTTGGCAACTTCATACATAGAAGTGTTTAAAATGCAAATGAAATTATTTTTATTCTAATGCACAATCATTACAAAATATAAAATTACTACCTGTATGTTCTAAGCTCTGAAACCACTACTTACTGATTCAACCACACAGAGAAAAATAATAATCTACGGGTACACTAGTATCAACATCAGACTGAAGCAGCAAAATGCTTTGTTGTGTTTAAAAATGATCATTGTAAAAATAAACACTGAAGAACACACAACACTAAAATACAAATTCTGCTTTACTTATGTTTAAGAACAGGTTATAGTCCTGATGCCTCTACATTCATCTGGTTGGCTCCTACTTTTTTATATGGATCACCGATGAACCATTTGATTTCAGTATGTGAAAGCTGACTTCATAACTTATTTTCAGTATCATGTAGAAATCCAGGGAGGTCTATGGGGAAAGTGATCCTTCTAAAAGTCAGGCCACTTTGATACTTAAGATCACCCAGCTGGTTCTGTAACTCTGACTGAGTTCTGAAGATCTAAGTGATTTAAGAGCACAAGTCTCACTCATCCAGAGCCGGTGGGATATACAGTTGCTTAAGTGGTTTTGAAAAAAAAATTAAAAAATAAAAAAATCTCACTGCTGGAGAGCAAAATGGCAGAAGAACTGTTCCCAGATGATCAATATTGGACATTGAGAAATTCTTTTTTCAAACCTATCACTCCCCTTTTTCTCTACCACATATTGCTCTCTGCTGCTTCATAGTGTATGTGTGACTGCCAAGCTCTAATCAGTTCCAGCTGGGAGCTGAAACTCTAAGAATGTTTCTTTTGTAACCCAGGAAAGGACAATGCCACTTCAGGAAGAAAAAAGGGCGTCAGTGCCACCCTGAAGTGACTACAGCTGGGATTATTTCAAAATGTACTTGGCATAGCCTTTATCCAAGACAATCCAATCTATTATTGCAGGCGTCTTTTTTTGATATCTGTAGAGCTGGTTCATACATATGGCTTTCAGACCTCTTTGTAGAAATACATACCTTTTGATAAATCCATCTAGTTTATCCTCTCGTTCTTTTAAGAATGTAATACATTTCTGGAAGATGCAACTGATGTAGTGCATTTTCATAGCAAGTACTTCATTCATATCTTTCTGCTTCATGCATTTCTCACAAATTAGATCCAGAACCCTGTAACATTTCTGCAGTGCTTCTACTTCAGCCAATAGAGGGTTCTCTTTAACCAGCAACACAATCTATGAGAAAGAGCAAAGAAAATGTAATCGAATTAGGAACTAATATTTTCAGACTTGTGCATTAGCATTACAGGCTATATAGCTTATAATGAGCTAAATTTCAGTGGAGTTTCTAATATTCCTCTACTTCTGTCTTATGCAGACTTCTCCTCCTTTTTTCAGTCACTATTTAGTATTACTATTTAATATACTGTAATTCACAGCTCCCATACAAGAAATATTCAAAATTAAGTCTGTTATTAAAAATACTACGGATTTTTCCAGAATAAGAACCTGAAGAATCAAAACCATTTCAAAAGAAACAGTTACAGAAACTACCATACATTGTCCCAAAATCACTTTCCTTTTGAACACCTAAAACCGGACTTGTAGAATTTGGGCAGTTTCACAGAACGCACCAACGTCACATAATCTGGGAGTACTTCAGGTAGACCAGTAAAGCACTGAACTATCCATTTTGAGAGGAAACTGTATACTCTGCTCACTAAATTAGCTGCCACTGGTGCATTACCCTTTGAATGTGCTGCAGTTACCTGGTGGGCATCTGTTGACAAATTCCTGACTTGGAATGGCAAGCCCAAGGAACTTGTCTTTGAATTGAGGTGTATTAATCTCCCTGAACTACACGGGAGCAGCAAACCATAAAAGGCGTTATTTTAATCAAATACACTGGGAAGTAAAAATAAACATCTCTTGCCCATACTTTCAGAAACAGCAGTAGATGTTACTACAGTGAACCAGTGATGAAGATAGGAAGATACATGCTGAGACAGGCATCGAGAGAACAATGAGATTTTGTTACAACAGTAAATTGTTCTATGTTTCCACTTCAAGCAGGGCTAGGAAAAAAAGAAAGCTATCTGTGGGTATGGATGCAAAAAATAAGAATCTCTCCACTTAAAGGTGCTAGTTTAAGATACTGGTGTATATAAACACTGAAATAGCTTCACTTTTTAATCAATTCTAAATGTTGAACCTGGTTCTCATTTTCAGAAGCACCTGAACAGTTCATAATGCTTTTGATCTCAGTTGGGACTCTCAGAAGAGCTGAATGCTTTCTGACAAAAAGAAACAGTTTCCATGCCAGAAACATATAAAATTTACATATTACTCCACCTTAACAGGATGCATGTTAGTAGTAGTAATAATTTTATGTAGAGGTCCAGCTAATTTTACTGGCAGTTTTGGTTCTTTATCTAAGCCTTGTGGTTTAGTATAGTAGTCCAGCCTTTCACGTGGAAAGAAGTTGTTGATGACGGTCACACAGTCATGTTGACCTAAAGGCACACAAGAAAAAAAACAAAACACCAATGAAATTAAATAGTAACAACAACAACAAAAAGACCTGAAACCAAATCCAATACAGGTGAGAATTACTCACAAAGGAGCTTAGCATGATAGGCTTTGCACTGGTGACAGGCAACTCTTACAATTCTTTTACATTCATTAAGTGTCACTTACTGACTCCCAGCAGGGAATGACTTAATGAAATTTCATTTTGAGAACTTTATCTCCTTCCCGCATCCTCCTTCCCTGGTGAGCCAACACTAAAAGAATAGGTATTTTTCCCCAAAGTTACACTATACTAGTAGTCTCATGCTGGTGTTAAAATTTCTCATGAGAAGTTATTTCCACTTCGTACTTTCAAAAATTAATGACATTTGCATTGTGATTTTTAAGTTTTAAGACCTGAAACAGAACATGCTTAAAATTTACAGAAAAAAAAAAAAAAGGACTGTGATGAAAGTAACAAGATGAGAGAATTTACACCCCCTTCTTGTCTTCTACATCTGACAATATGATGGATTACTTGGCTAAAGGGAAAATAAAATTTAGCTTCTCTAGTTCAAGACCATATTCTTTAAATTGATTGATTTATCTTGGCACTAATCCTATTAATCAGTAGAATAAGACACAGACAACGAAATTCCAGCATTTAAAACCCTCCACCGTTTTAGAAGAGACTGTTCTAAGCTAATAGAGCACCATGTAAGACAAATGACAGGGGAAGAAGTATCCTCACTTCCCACACACTGACAGATGAATTAATGTTGATAGGACAGAGAATAGAAAGATCAGGAATGGATTCTAATGTTCAGAGTTTTACAGAGTAGCATATCTCAGTATGTCTGAAAATATTTATTCTACCTTGGTGATGTGATGAGATTTTAAATAAAAATTCTCCAAAATTATATTGGAGATAACATTCTCTATTCATTAATAAGTCAATTCAGCACGATAATGGGAAAGACTCTCCAAATCCAAAGTATAATTAATAGGAGTGGGCTTCTCTGAGGTATTAAGTGAATAGTTAAGGTTTTGCTGCTTGTACCTCAAGTAAGCAATGTCAATCTTTTCCTTTTTTAAAAGGCCAGAACAAGACACAATTGAAATTGAAACTGCACTAACTCACTATTCAAGGCGGTAAATCTAAATGGCACGGTAGGCTCTTGCAAGAGAGTTCTCAGACATTTAAACAATATGAGAAGGTTGTGTTGAAGTGAAAATACAGGTCCTCAGTTTTGGATGTTGAGAAGGTCATCAGGACAGCAATAGCTGAGTCATTAAAACAATTTCACTTTTTCTCGTAGTATTTTATCAAATGTCCTTGCTAGAAATAAAGAAAAAGTGGTATATTTGGGAATGTTAAGCCAGAAATCTCCCAGCACTGTCAAGATGGGTAAAGAAGTAAAAAAGGTTTAGGAAAAAAAGACAAGAAAAAGAAACATAACAACAGCAAAAAGCCTAGTTGCATGTTTTGCCCAGGACCACACAGCATACTGGAACGATAAATCTTTTGTCTTGTTCTAGTCAAGTTCAGGTCAGTAGGTACTGACCTACCTCAGAGCAGGTTCTGAGACTTTGCCCACGGAGGGGGTGAAGGGCAGGAGGTGACTCACCGCGAGCACAGAGCGCGCTCCTGGCAAAGCTCAGATGAGGATTCCTGACTCCCAGTGCTACGTTTGTCCCTTCCCACAAAGGGAGCTCCGATTACGCGCTTTGTACTGCAGAAGCACATACCTGCACTTCAGACACCTCAGATGTCAGCAGCTTCCTCTTACTAGTTGAAAAGTGATGACATTGCAAAAACTTGCATGCTTGGAGAACAGCAGGATTTATTCTTACAGATAAGATCATTTGTGCTTTTATAAAACAAAGCATGGGAATAAAACACAAATTGACTCTGTTACAGGATGAGATGTGAAAAAAAAGCTGAACAATTACATCATTTCAGAATGGGTCATTAAATAATGTTCCTCCAATAAAAAACACCAGATTCTAACATTTTCCTTCTTTAGGAATTTAGGAAATGATAACAGACTTTCACCTTACCCACAAAAGCAGCCATCTGAGCTGCTGTCCTTCCCACAGAGTTGACAACATCAGTCTCTGCTCCAGCCTCTAACATCATCCAGGTGATTTCTTTGTTTCCTGAATTTGAGTCGGGGTGGCGGGGGGAAGAGATGGGGAGAACAAACCAGAACTTATAATTCTTTATGTTGTAAAAAACCAAGGGGTGAATTTCTTAAAGACCAGGAATAACACTGAGGGAAATGAATGTTCTTAATGTCGTTATTTTAAGAATGGATTAAGAGAAAGACATGGTGCTGCCTCCTTATTTATGGTTCCAGGGGGTCAAAGCAAAGTGAAAACTAAATTCAGGCAGGGTATAACTCTGGTCTCTGTAACACAGACTCAGCTCCCTGTGGAGCTTATGGGAGTCCTATGCATATAACTACAGAAGAGCTTGGTCCCTCTGGATAGCAGTATAGAAGCAAAGTCTACTAATCTAGTTTGACAGTTCAACTACAACATTTGCTATTCTAAGAAGAAAAACAAATGCAGTACTATTATGTAGCAGGAGCATAGAGAAGAGAACAGATTGTTCCTTTCTCCACAGCGGGAACTGGGTGTTCTCACTGGGCTAAATACCAAGTAAAATGAAGCTAAAATTTGACGAGAAGATTAGATGACTTAATTGGTGCCCTTCAGAGACTAATAAGGACACTTGTCACCACTCGTGCTGGTTCTGCTTTCAAAGGTATTCTTTATCAGTTTTTGTGCACATGCTAAGTACAAAAAATTGAATATAAAAAAGAGGGAGTGGTGGATGGAAATTAATGTTTCTGATTTAAAAACAAAGGCAATGCATTAGTATTGCTCATGTACCTTTTGTACTCACAGATAACAGGAGCATTCAAACCCAGGATGACAGGTTAAAAGCTCATCTGTGAGAAAATGGTAAAAATGCAGTATTTTCCATAAAGCTGCAGTCATTTAACAGCCTCTGGGAGTTTGTTCCCATCCATCTGCTGCAGCTCCAATATTGCTCAATGACATGGAATACTGAAATTTTCCAGATCTTTTTACTAACTTTTTAGGAGAAAAGCAATCTGATGATCCAGTTAAGGTTCATATACACATGTCTTTCTCTTTTTATACTTTTGATGGAAGAAAGCAGAGTTTAAACTGTACCTAAGTACAGTTTAACTCTGGGAAGACATAAGTGGCCTAGAAAGAAAATACTTAAAATAACCTCATATTCCCAAATCTAATATTTTCCCTAGAAGGAATAAAGTTTTTTATGTAGTGTCTTTTTCTCATGCAAAGAAATATTTATTCTTTTCATCAGGGAAAAAGAATAGTAAGAGGACAGCTGCAAACCATGACTTGAGACAGGAGATATATACAGCTATAAGCATTCTCATGGGGAAAAAAAAAAAAAAGAGGAGAGGGAAAATTAATGTGAGAAAACATTAAGTTTAAAACTTACTAAATACATTTTTAAACACCCACAAGATAATTACAAATATAACGTAGGAAAAAGGCAAAATTTGAAAAATACTGGATTGATTTGACAAGCCTCAAATATTACTAAAAGCTAATGACTTGTAGTCCTAAAAAGGAAGTTTGGTGCAGCATCTTTTTCAGTGTAACAGTATAATTAAACAGAATGTATCCCACTGTACAGGAAAATTGTCACAAGAGACTGAATTTTGAGATTTATAACAAATAGGACAAAGTACAGACAAACTATACGCCTCAAAACACTGAACAAAATCAATTTTTATACAGAAAAAGATCCCAAGCCTGAACTGTAGCTCTCCTGTTCCACTGTCCTTATCATTCTACTGGTCTTGACGTATTTGCATGGTTCACATAAGTAACAGTAACCTGAATAGTAAAAACATGTCAACATATTCCTTTTAAATATTAATTTATGGCAAATTCTACCCATCAGTGTCACAAAAATCAGTGATGTAAGTTTAGTAAGAAGTTACCTGAAAGTCCAGCAAACATCAAGGCAGTATATCCATGCTCATGTTCATTGCAGTTAACATCAGCTCCATGTCGCAAGAGCAACCTGCACATATCTACTTTCCCTTTATACGCCGCATGCATTAGAGGGGTCATGCCATGCTAGCATAAGGAAAAAAAAAAGCAGCACACAAAAAATAATTCATTATATCTCTTCATCTCCTTACTATTGATAATTTTCACTAGTATATCAATGTCCCTACCAAAGCCTCACATAATATTTAAGTTAGTAACAACAAAAAAGCTCACAAAATCTTGACCAAAAAATGCCTTTACTGAGATGCAGTAGATTTTCTGTTTCCATATCACTTTTCTGATTATGCTGTGCTATATATATGAAAACAGACCAGTGCTGAACAAATAAAATTTAACCCCTATTTGTCACTAGCCCTTTGTATAAGACATTAGCATTAAAGACAACTAATGCTTCCGCTAGCGGGAGAAGCTTGTTTTAGAAAATCTGTCAGGTTCTTCAGTTATTACCCTCCTCCTGCATTATATGATAAGCAACAAGAAAATCAGGAATAGGTTCTTGTTGTTTTTGCCATCACGAAGACAGGCAATTTCTGAAACTCCTCTTGCTTGGTTTTAGTCAGGTTTACTAGTAATTGTATTATCTTCCTCTCCACCCCTTTGGTATGTGTCTGTGATCTTACGCCAGCCAGAGCTCGGAAGGCCCTTGTGAAGACACACAGCTCTAACTAGACTCTAACAGCCACACCGTCTCCAAACTTGCCTCTTGATAAACTGCACCAGGACAGAAAGGATTAGCTTCAGCAAGGGAGGCACTGAGTTCTTATTAGAGTTGCACTGGTGTAATTATAAATGCAAACCTGGGCAAACCCTAGGGGAATGTTCAGAACTAGGGTGAATTTTTAGTGCAGGCTCTCTCCCTCTCAAAGGGCAGGGAAAAGCACGTTCCTGTTTGAGAAAATTGCATGACCTGCTGTTTTTAGAATTTGATACACTTTTTCCAATATGCTGTTTATTTTCACTTAACATCAAGTGAGGATTCATGTTATCAGCCAAGACGTAGTAATTGTGCAAGAACATTCTCAGCACTGAATACAAGGGAGTGTTCTTCAGTTTGTCCATGAAGGAAATCAAAATGGCATTTTCTTCCCTTTTTTTGCAGGTTAAGGCGTGGTGCATGAATACACTCATGTACACCATGACTCCAGCTCTGTAAACGCATGGTAATGTCATACTCTGAAATAATGCAATTGTCATTTTAAGCCTTAATATATTTTTAGTTTCAATTTATGACAGAATAAACCTAGTTAAGTTAAATTTATCAGTATAATTTTCAAAAACTTCCTAAAGGTGAAATTACTAAATTTAAAACTATAGTAACAATTTTTAAGTATTATAACTTAATTATTACCCACCCTAACTGAAAACAATAAAAAATTACTTGATGCCTTATAGTTTAGTACCCTGAAACATTTTGGTAAACTGTAATATAAACTGACATTAAAGAAAACAAAAGACCCGAAGAGATCACTTCTCAGACATGAAACAAATTTGTCCTTGTTTTTGCTAGGTTTCATTTGTGGTCCTGTAAAGGTAAGTAAAGGCCTAAAAACATAAAATATGTTACATTATATAGACAGCAATTTTTATGGGCCAATCCCAGTTTGGAGTCACAGCACAGGTTCTCCTCTGTTAGTTGTGCAGAGAAGTACTGCTGTAAGTACAGCAGTAAACAGTGATTTTAAGTCAATCTGAAGATTATATGTCAAAGGAAAGGGTTGTGGGTTTTTTTGTTTGGTTTGGGTTTTGGTGGGGCTTTTTGTTTATTTGTTGTTTTTTTTCCAGCCTCTCCTCCAGGGAAACATTTTAAAAGCTTTTGGTTACATTTTGAAAGTGTCAGGCTGTGGTGTGAATCAAGAAAACCTATCAAACAGAAAACATGCAGACAGTTGTTGGAAAACTGGATTTAAAATCACACTAATATCAGCCTTTCACATTCACAGCAAATGAAAAAGAGACAGGCTAGATACAACCTTATCTGGAAAGAATATATCTGTGTTACGTAGAATATGCAGAAACCAAAACGACTGCAAATACTCTGCTCAGGCTGAATATCAAAGACAGGTCCAGCAACAGGCTGTTTTCTGACAAATGACATTTGGATTATGAATACAACATACTTAAAAGACCAAGCTGGTAGACAGTTTCTTACGCATACAGATGAAACAGATTATTTATTCTTCCAATATTGAACACAGGATGAAGAATCCATTTTCTAACAGCTACTAAGTAACATTCCTCTGTACAAAAATCCATTTTTTCAAAGACATTCCCTAGGACAAAAATGAATTTTCCTAGTTTTTTGTTTACTTTGTAGGGATGTTACATCAGGTACAGGGAGCAAAGTTAACATCTCCCATCTTATGTTGGGCTACGAGTATTCCCTGTACACCTGACTGTACAATGGAAATGAGGAGTTTGCAGCGCCTCTAGAAATTGCTTGGCATCCCCCTTGACCAGGTTCTTGGGTTCATCAACCAACAGGGACCCCCTGGCACAATGGGGCTGTGCCTCACGGCATGGCCAACCCACCCTTCCTGTTCCTGATGCTGTAAATACACCAGAAGCAGACTGAGGGATGGGATTTCAAGAGCGAAATGGATCTAATGCTGCCATGGTGGGGGAACCAAGTGAAGAAATAATATACTGTGGGGTCAGTGGTTTGAATCAGCTCAGAAAGGGAGCAAAGGACACGTGGGGAAGCAGGAGGGGCAGATGAGTACCAGAACCAGGGAGAAGTTGGACTCCATGACCAGAAGCGGGAGAAGAAAGCAGATCAATTTCTCTCTGCAGCACTTGGGAGCTATTACATCTGTGCTTCCACAGGCTGAATAAAAAAAATCATAAAGAGAACAAACTAGAAAAACAACCTTTTGCCTTCTAGGAACTACAGAGGAAGTTCTCAACAGCACTGTTTCTCAGCCTTTGTTGACCAGAGGAACTGGGGAGCAGGGGCTGGCCAGGGAACAAGAGTTGGGACAAACAAAAAGAATACACAGACCATCTCGCATCCCAGTGACCTGGGCACACGCGGCAGAAGATCTGACTGCATTGTGAGCGTTCATACACTCACGCTGACTGTGTAAGAACACAGACATGATACATGTACACTTTCAAAAGCCATTGTTTTGTGGATAAGAGGCTGATGATTCACTACTGGAGTAGCCACATAGACTTGTGTTACTCAAGAGAAAACAGAAATCCAAGTGGTCTCAGCATTCCCTGTATTTTACACCTCTTATGCTCACTTCACCCTTTTTACTTCTCAAATGTGGAAACATGGTCAAGATGTGGCACAGAAGGGGAGGAAACGGGGAAAAAGGCTCCCTTTGCAATGAGGAACCCAGCCCCACATGAACATGGAAAAAGTGCCTTATTCTATTCTTTAGATTCAGGCAACTATACCAGTTCTATTCATTCATAAAATTACAGACTAAACACATAGACTGGAAGTTTGGCTTTTATTTCAGACAATATTTGGGAAGTGATGAGATGCAAGTGTGAGATGGGGACAGGTATTCTTTATCCACACTGTCTGCTGTGATCTAAGCAGAGGGACTACAGTTTGGCGGCGGTGACAAGAAGACAGGGAGCACTCCTGCGTGTCTTGCTGCAGTGTTCATCTTACCTTACAGACACCAAAGTTCATGGTGGAACTTGAGAGAAAATACAGTGCAGTACTTTAAGTAACGTACACTTTTTTTTTTTTAAAGAAAGTTTAAAGAATAGAGGTCTTCAAAGGTTCATTATTCAGCTGCAGGCTAGATAGACATTCAGAACAATTCTGATTTCCAGGAGCTTGTACAGCAATGCTATTTAACAACAAGAAAGCCTTCAGACCTAGTATTTTCCTTGCTAAACTCAGCATAACACTTGTAGAGTTTTGCTGTACCTCATCCAAGCAATTGACACGGACATTCTTGCTGCCCAGTAGCCTTCCAGCCTCCTCGGTGTTTCCTTTAATAAAAAATAAAAAATAAAAATAATAAATAAAAAAAAAAGACACGGAGAGAGAGAAAGAGAGGTGAGAAAGGGAACAAGATCAGTTCCATTCCCGATTAGAATCAAAATCTTTGTAGCTTAACCACTACCAAATCAGTCGTACTTAGTGAAGAGCCTTAGGAATGGACAGTGCTCTGTTCTAGAAGCTAAAAGCCAAGAAGTCACAACATCAAAGAGTAGTCTGAGAACATCCACTAGAAGTAAACGGCATTTTGTGAAATAACTGATCTACACACACACAAGAACAGGACACTAATATGTCTCTTCATAAACAGTATCAGAAAAATTCTGGATGAGTAAAAAATTATGCTGAGTATTTTAACACAGTCTGTACTTTGACCTCTTTTGGAGCATCTTATGTCTAAACAAGCTATCTAAAGTCTCACAAAAGGAAGTTTTCCCATTTCAAAGACTTCTGGTCTGAATGAAACATGCTGTATCATTTACTCACACTGCCTTTCCTGTTTAAGTTTGAAATTTGCAATGTTCCACCTCCCCGGCCCACAAAAGTGGAAAGAATTTGCTTTTGGTAATAGAGAATAGAGGTGGAAAGGACAAGGACCAAGGTAACTTCATCAGTGACATTTCTGAAAAATGCCAAATGCCTAAATAGGCTGAAGTCTGAAAAAAATCTGTGCAACAAAAAAAATAGGCCATACCTTTGTATTTTTCCATTTGCTACAAGAATCCTTCCAGTTAAGCCACAGATCTAAGAACCTGATTTAAAGCCCACTGGAGAACTATCCAGTAACGTCAATGCAACTTCAACGGACATTTAAACAAACAGAAAGAGTACAAAAGAACGTTCAAAGTTCTAAGTTTGGAGAGTCAAATTTATTGCAAATTAACAGAAACTTCTCATCATTGATTCCATCATAAGCAAAACTCTTTCAGCAGTGATGTGCTTAACAAAAATAAGGATTACATCCCTCATTTTAATGACAGACTTCATGTTTATCTTCACTGTATCACAAGGAGGTGCTCTTCCAGCAGATTTTCAGCAAAGCAGGTCTTGCAACTTCAGTTTTGGCTCATTACAAATACTAGAAATAATTTATTTTCATAAAGCTTTTTGTGTGGCTTAACTATACTAAACAAGTTTCTTTACCTCTTTTTAAAAAAAATATAAATTAATTATTTTAAGGAAAAAAGCCAGTCACCTGGGTCATCCCACACACTTGATAAAGATGCAGTGAAATACACTGACTGACAGGGCACTATTGTCAACTAGCCTACTCCCCCAAATATTTATTTATGTATTAATAAACACGTGGGAAGCTTCTTAGGACCCAGAGTAGTTTTCAGAAGAACATCCCAGCAAGAGAACAAATATCAGAAATTCAAGGGGTGATGTTCAAACTAAGTTTCAATGCAAGTAAAGCAAACCAAAGTTGTATTTACAAGTTCAGAGTTCGGTGTGAAAGACATTGAAGGATTTCCAAATGAGACACTAAACTGAGAGAAGTTCAACATCTAGAACTGGCTAGAGCTTAAAGTTGGAGCCAGGCTGCTATTACTGGTGTGTAGTAGGAGGCCAAGAGACAACAGGATCAAGTTGAAACAAAAAGCTTTAGACTGGGTATAAGGAAAACCATTTTCACTGCAAACTCAGTAAGGCAGCAGAACAGGTTGCCCAAAGACACCGTGCCACATCCACCCTTGGAGGTTTTCAAGACCTGATCAAGTAAAGCCCCGAGCAATCTCATCTGACCTCACAGTTGACCTGTTTTGAGCAGGTTGGCCTAGAGACCCCCTGAGGTCCCTTCCAACCTGAATTATGCCCCGACCCTGATCCTAAGCACCAGGTAAGTTAGATAGAAATCTATGCAAGACAAAGGCCTGAAACTCTGCTTAAAGTCAAGTTAATCAAACTGATTCTAATCCACAATAAATTAATTACCAACTGTCCCATGCTTGTGCCTCTGACACAGAGGAATGTTTTAACACAAGGGAGAGCGAAAACCCAAAACTATAAATAAAATTTCTTATGGGTTCAAATTCCCTCAAAACTACATATAGAAATGCATGGAGCACATCAGGTGTTCTTATTTTACCTCCAACTAACAAACACCACTCACAATTTTGAAAACACAGTTTGGAGTGCAACTGTTTAGATAGGGCTGTGACATTCACATTGCTGGACCATGAAATCCAACTGTTATGACAAGTGTGACGGAAAGCCCCCCCAGCAGAAACATAATGTGGTGAAACTGCAACGCTCACATGAAATGCAAAACAAAGCAGCATAAGGGATACAAGGTGCACAACACGCTGGACAAGCTCGAGTTCTGTTAATTAAAAAATGACCTGTCTGCAAGGACATTTCGGTCCGAGCACAGCACACAGGGAAACCTGTAGCAGGCTAAAGAACTGTATTACTCCCTGTAAAATTTGCCTGGTCTAGCAGAAGGTGTCCCTGCTGATGGCAGGGGGGTTGGAACTGGCTGATCTTTAAGGTCCCTTCCAACCCAAACCATTCTGTGATTCTGCACTAACACAGGCCATTAGCTAAATGCCGGCGTGCAGGACTAACAGGAACGCACGCAAGAAGGACACGAGCTTTCCCCGGCGGAGTCAGGCCCCCGCACCCCAGCCCGGCCCGGCCCGGCCGGCGGCGCCCTCTGAGCTCCCCGCATCGGCCCGAGCGAGAAGCGCGCCACGGCTCCAGGGAACAGCC